GTTCCCAGACTTCTCATAACCAGCCAACTATCGTTCTTGAATTGTTAGCTACAGCGACAAACAAAGAGTTAGCAGAATATTTTGATCGAGCGCTCACTTATGCAGATCAACTTTCTGCAGGCGAGAAGTGGGTAGTTCATTTCACGTGTTGTGAGAATCACATTGCAAATCCTTTATAGCTGACCAAGGAAGAGTTAGAAAAAGGCCTTCAAGTTGTAATAGTCTAGCATGATTTGGACTTTATGATCATTTGTATGGTTGCATGTTAGTGGGATGAGGAATATAAAATGGTACATATCACTGAGGTTGAAGAGTTTAAGATGTGATTTGTAGATTAATGCGATAATCTGACTTTGAGAAACATCTCATTTTCTTTTTCCTATGTATCAATTTCTGTTATAGCATTTATTGTAATTACATTTTTTCACACAGAATTTTTTAACATGTACAGTCGACCCTCTCTATAATCACACCCTTCGGGATCGCCTTATGGTGTGATTGTATAGAGGTGTGCTTATATGTGATTATGCAATTTCAAAAATTAAAATTAAAATTACCGGTATTTATTTTATTATATTTATTACATCTATAGTTTATCATTTTAGATTAGATTTTCAACACTTCAGCTGAATCTAAAGTGGTAAGTTTTGTTTTTTTTTTCATTTCGTTCTCCTTTTGCTTGGTTGTTAAATTAACCAATTTCTTTCTTTTTTTAGATTTTTCAACATTTCGGCTAGATCCAAAATGATAAGTTTCGTTTCTTTTCTTTTCTTCTTTGTTTCATTCTTCCTTCTTTCTCTTGGTTATTAATTAACTAATTTCTTTTTTTTTATAGGTCTTTGGGTTTCTTTGGCTGGATCCAAGATGCAAGGTGGGTGTTTCATTTGTTTCTTTCTTTCTTCTTTCGCTTGGTTATTAATTAACTAATTTTCTTTTTTTTTAGGTCTTTGGGTTTCTTTGGCTAGATCCAAGATGCAAGGTGGGTGTTTCGTTTGTTTGTTTGTTTCTTCTTTCGCTTGGTTATTAATTAACCAATTTTCTTTTTTTTAGGTCTTTGGGTTTCTTCATCTGGATCCAAGGTGCAAGGTTAGTGTTTTATTTATTTGTTTGTTTCTTCTTTCGCTTGGTTATTAATTAACCAATTTTCTTTTTTATTAGGTCTTTGGGTTTCTTCAGCTGGATTCAAGGTGCAAGGTGGGTGTTTCGTTTATTTGTTTCTTTCTTCTTTCGCTTGGTTATTAATTAACCAATTTTCTTTTTTTTTTTAGGTCTTTGGTTTCTTCGGCTGGATCCAAGATGCAAGGTGGATGTTTCGTTTGTTTGTTCTTTCTTCTTTTGCTTAGTTATTAATTAACCAATTTTCTTTTTTTTTTTAGGTCTTTGGGTTTCTTCAGCTGGATCCAAGGTGCAAGGTGGGTGTTTCATTTGTTTGTTTCTTTCTTCTTTCACTTGGTTATTAATTAACCAATTTCTTTTTTTTTTTAGACCTTTGGACTCTTCGGCTGGATCCCTAGGCAGTAAGTTCATTTTCTTACTTTGCTTTAATCTTTATTTACTTTCTTTTTTTAGATGATTCTTTTAGCTTTTCAGATCTGGATTCTAGACGGTTATGGTAAGCTTCATTTTCTTATTTTTTTTTATTCTTTCGTTTGTTTAAAATTTTCTAAATTTTCATATTCTTTTTTTTTTTAAATACAAGGCTAGGAACAGTTTAGACCAGACTGACCAGATTGAGTAGGACCATTAGTTTTATGTGAAAAATTAATTTTTTATTTAATAAAGTTTACTGATCTTTG